GCCAAGTGATAGGTTTGCGAAAATCTTCATCAGCTACCTGGCCCGGCCGGCCCGACCCACCACGGGTTGGCCATTTGGTAGGCCAACCCAACCTGGCTCATTTATCAGTGAGCTCAAAAAAATCGAACCCGGCCCATCCACCACGGGTTGGTGGGTTAAACGGGTTGACTCACTTTAAAAAAAAAAATAATTTTTTTCATTTTTTTTCTTAATATACAACTAAAGCCCAAAAATTTAAACTTATTTTAAAAATCTGAGATTCTTAATTAAGACATCCATAAATGAATCATTCATCCCAAACATTAAATGATAATTTTAAATACAATCAAATCAAATCTAAATAATCTCAGATAGATAAATATAATCCAAAATCATCTTAAACTTCAAATATAATCCCAAATTATCTTAAACTTCAAATACAATCGAAAATCATAAAAATTACAAATCACAATCCAACATTAAATTATTATTGTCTCATGTTGGACTGCACCATGACCCAATAATTATTGTATTTTTTCAACAAAAAAAAATTTAATCACGGGTTGGTGGGCCAGCCCGGCTCACCACGGGTTCAACCCGGGTGAGCCGGGTTGTTAGTGAGCCAGGTTCAAATTTGATCCATATTGAAATTTTTAAATTTTTTTCAACTCAGGGTTGGCTCACCGGACCAAGCCTATTTTGATAGCTCTATCGGTTATGACCCGTTCAGATAGTGGGTCTTTGTTTTGGCCGATGTCTCTTAGCGCTCATCCGATATCGTCTAGCGCTTCAGTGCCGAGCTCAAGCTCGGTTCCATAGTACGGATAGTACAATATATTTTTTTTTTTTGTGCGTCCCTGGAGTATCCACCGCCGACAGCAGTGACTAATCTCCTCGCTACGTTGGAGGCACCTCAAAGGGTGGGATAGCTGGCCCCAATATTTAACGCGGCTGCATACATAAGGCAGGATTCGAACCCCTGACCTTGCTTAAGCGTGGATCAACCCCTACCGCTGAACCACACGCTTGGGGTTAGTACAATATATATTTCATATACACAATATTATTTTAAAAATTAAATTGGCCCAATTTTAATAATAGTAATTATAAATATATATATATATATAGGGGTGAGCAACGGGTGGGTTTGGTCGGGTTCGGGTGAAAAATGTCCAAC